CCGAAGATGAATGGTTATAAGACTTAGTGGTTGAAAAACTCTCAACAAATATTCCTTTGAGAATATAAATTCAAAAATTGTGTGGTAAAGTAATTGCTTATTAAAGTCATTATCGAACCCCAAGCGTGTGGTTCAGCGGTAAGGGTTGATCCACGCTTAAGCAAGGTCAGGAGTTCGAATCCTGCCTTGTGTATGCAGCCGCGTTAAATCTTGGGGCCAGCTATCCCACCTGTTGAGGTGCCTCCAACGTAGCGAGGAGATTAGTCACTCCAGGAACGAACCTAAAAAAAAAAAAAGTCATTATCGTCACCACATTTGTTACTTTTATAACATCCTTTAGCTTTGATGTCTCAGCGACTCCACCCCACAGCACTTTACACGGTGATATTTCACACAAATTCTCGTTGATCAGAATCCTTCATTGGTCAAAACTCTTTGTGGGTAGCCTTTTCTAAGATACTTGTCCGCCTCTAGGATCAACAACTAATCTCACAAACCAACACAAGACTTTTTAATATATTTTGTCCTCACTTGCATACTTTTTGAGAAAATATTCTAGAAGGTCATCCATCTCTAAATTACTCTAAATCAAACACATTTAATTATGGAGTTCTTATGAGATAAATTATCAAAAAGTAAATACATCTTGTTAGTATAAGTAGTACAAATTAAATCTTTTAAGTCATCCTCAACTATACAATTTCTATATCCATCTCATTTCGGTGTGTCCTAGCTGTTACAACTTCCACCATTATGTTTGCTTCCAAACCACCACACTATCAAAGCAAAAGAAAAGGGAAAGGGAAAGAAACCAAAAAGAAAAAAATGCAAAAGAAAAATGAAAGAAAAAGAGGGAAATAATTTTCCTAAATGTGTGAAGAGGAGGAGAACAAAGAAAAGGGAAAGACAAAAAAACCAAAAACAAGAGTTTAGAGTTGAAAAATGTGAATTATGTTTTCTGAAATTTCAAAACACTTTTATAACAATTATTATTTCACCTGTCATAGAATTTTTTTTTCTATATTAAGTGTCATTATACTCTCCATATATAAAAAGGTTATGATCAACTACAAATTGGACTATCACCAACACGTTCTATGACGAATGTCAATAAAATTGTGAATTTGTGAAAATTAATGGGTGTGATTCTTAATTATCTTTTATGCACATATTTTATATATATATAAAAGATGTATTTTTAAAAATAAAGTATACACTTATTTAATAACTTGTTGATATTATTTAACATATTAGCAATAAAGATGTAATTTGTACCTTTATATACTTTTTTATACGTAAAAAAATTGCTTTTATAGTGTACCAGCAAATATTTAATTTATTAAGACTATTGAAAATAGTTTAATTAATTAGTGATTAATAATGTTATAATTTATTATTTTCAAAAATATCTACAAAATTAAATGATCAAATAATTATATTTAATGATAAATTAAGTAATAATTTTTATAAAATAATAAATATGACTTTTAGTATTAATAATTTAATAAATACATTTATTTTATGAAGGAAAAAAAAGAGTGCAAAATTTATTAATAGACTTATAATAAATTAAGAATATAAAAATTATCAATTAATAATTTTAAAATAGACATATTTCTTATAATTAAGAATGAAAAAATGTTATATATATAAGAGCGAATATAATTTATACTTTTATATTTAATAAATAATGGAGAGACGAAAATCCTTAACCACATTTTAATTTTCATTTTTATAAGACTATTTTTGTAACATAGTAAGTTGGTTCAGGGTTTAGTGGATGCTAGAGGGAAGAGTATATAAGACATTCTCTTATAACAGAGTCTCATAAGCTCATTCTCAAAGGAATCCTAGAGAGAAGTTTTAGACAGAAGGGTCCTGAGTCCGTGAGCTCCTTTCTCTCCCAAATTTCTCTGTTTGATTTTCTTATTCTCTAAATCACTAATCTCTTCTATATTTTCTTGGAATTCAGGCTAGGAAGCTAGTTTTCAGAGGATTGAAGATCGCAAGTCGAGCTTTGGGAGAAATTCATCTTCTTCTCAGTTCTTGGCTATTTTGAGCCAAACTTTCAGGTGAGGGAAGCTAGAATGTAAGTTGTTAGGTTGCATGTGAGTTTATAAACTCAATTGGTGCATGAATTTTGAGAATCAATGGTTGAATTGAAAGAATTGCTCATTTTTTGGGTTTTGGGCAAAAATGGAGTTTTTGGTAATTTTGATGCATCCAGTGAGTGCATGTTGAATCTAGGAACGTTTTTGGATTGTATGGGGTCTAAGTATTATGTTGTATGGATTGCATGTGGTGGAAATCTTCTGATTTTTAGGTTTTGATGCAATTTTCTAGGTTTTGGAGGTTGCTATTTGAATGTGTCGGGTGCATGTTCTTTGCGTCGATCATGCATTCACCAGAGGTAGCCATTTCTTAATCACGTCGGGCGCGAGGTTAGTCATGCTGGGCGTGATTTGAGATGGGAGCCTCTGGATGAGTCACGTCGGGCATAAGGAGAGCCACGTCGGGCGCGATATCAAATAATGGCCTTATACGATATTTTACTGATATGGCATCGGGCGCAGGATGGGTGCGCCGGGCGTGGAGACCCTTGGAGGTCTTTGTCTGATTTGGTGTCAGGCGCAGGATGGGTGCGCCGAGTGTAGAGATCCTTGGAGGTCTCTGTCTGATTTGGCACCGAGCACCGGATGGGTGTGTCGGGCATGGAGACCCCTGGAGGTCTCTGTTTGAATGATGTCGGGCGTGGTGATTCCACGCCGGGCATGGGAGAGTCTTAGAGCTCTTGAGTTGGATTTAGGCCAGGCGCGAGCCGACTTGCGTCGGGCGTGAGTATGCTAGGAGTTATGATTGAAAATGATGCTTTTGCATGTTTAAAAATGAAATTGGTTCATGTATGTATGATATATAATGTATGATGATGTATGATTCATATGTATGCTTGGTAATGATATATATGAATGTTTAAAACATGGATTGATATGTATGTAGGTTTATATGAGAATAATATTGATCATGATGGTGGATTGACCATATATGAGGCATGATGCATTATTGCATGTGATGTATTGTGACATGTGTCTAGCCCAGGACTTGAGGAGATGGAAAATTTTTTCGAACTGGAAGACCTCACATAGAGTCTCTTGAGAGTGGTGCTTGGATAGGCCACTGATTTATACTAGAGTGGTGCTTGGATAGACAACTAATTTTGGGTGAGAGTGGTGCTTGGATAGGCCACTGGTTTGGGTGAGTCTCCTCTAAGTCCTTAGCTAGTGTTGGAGTGGAGTATGAGTTCGAGGGTTATTCCCTTAACCAAGTACTAGGGAAGGTGCGTGCTTCCTTGCGGATAGTCGGTGGGTGAAATCCACAAGTTACTTGGTAATGCATGTCAAGGTCGTGGTAAGCCTGTACCTAGTTGTACTATACCTGACGGTGGAATCGGATTTCCAAGTGTGTAAGTGACATCATTCGAGTAAACCCGAGTGGGGATTTATATCTCGGTTAGCTGTGACCAAGCGAGCGCATTGGGCGTGAAAAAGGTTGGGGTAGTTTCGGTAGGATGAGATGTTACTTATATTGTTCTGTTATTAGGGAGATCTCCTAGATGAATGTGTGACGACGCATTAGATGATTGATATGCATTGATATTTGTCATGAGTTGTTGTTATTGCATAATTTCTATTATGATGAAGTGTATGGTGTTTGACTTCATGACTGATGAGTTGGTGATTGAGTAAGATAGAAGTCCTTTAGGACATGACTGAATGAATTTGTAGTATAGATTACTATTCTATACTGGTATGGTTGTTTATTGAACTCTAACTTACCATTCTGTTTCCATGTGGATGGATTGCGATGATCATACTGTGTATGGGAGCAGGTCAGGGTTAGGTTGGAGCTGATTGTTGTAGTCGCTACGAGACGTGGAGTTTTGTCCTTGTGTTAGAGTTACCAATTTGGGTAATTGCTTTGTTTGGGCTTGATCAACACTAGGACAGTATTATTTTGGATGACTATATATACACAGTTCTATATTGTGTATATAAATATTTTTTTTATTATCACTTCTTTTTATATATATTCTATTATCCAACTTAATATTTTACCTTAGATGACTAATATAGTTCGCATGATTCCTCTAAGTGTAAAGGCCATAGTGGGTCGTTATAATTTTATTCTCAAATAAATTTAAATATATTAATTATTTTATTTCTCTCCCAAGCTATTATTTTTAATTTATTTATTTTTAAAAAACTAGAGACACAATAATAATATATATAAATTATTCAAAATCACGTTATCCCAAATAATATGATAAGTTTTCCATAATAATATATGATTACTAAACTCTTTTGTTTGTTTATTAATTTAATATGTATTCTCAATATAGATAATTTTATTTGAACTTATTAAGAATGATGAAGTTCTCCATGAGTATTTATTATAATAATATGAGTATTTACAATAAATGCATAATGAAGAAGTTAAATTTGAAACCACAAATTAAAACAATTTGAAACACTAAAACAATTCAATGAACCAAAAGTCATTACCTCCAATAATTTATCTTTATATTCTTTAAATAAAGATTAGGATTTGATTCTTATATTAAACATAAAGATTCAATTGGAAGTATCACTATTTTATTGACTCAATATAAAAATTATAATTTCTTATATAAAAAATTTGATATACTTTTTTAAATAACTATATTATTAATATAAAATATTGTCGAGTTCATTAATTTTATATAAAAAAATCTAATTAATTACTTTTAATAAATTTTTTATTTCGGTCACATTCTTTTCATTCATAATAATTATGTTAAAGAGTTGAATCTAACACTATTTGCAACCAGAGATGTTATTGATGATTGGTTATTAAATTCTTCAAGTAATATTATTAGAGAAAGAAAGAGACGTGTCATATGGTGATTGGTCATGAAGTTCTTCAAATTAATTTATTAGAGAAAGAAAGAAAAAATAAAATATGAGAGAGAGAGAGAGATTGAGTCGGTGAATAAATGAATGAGAGAGAGAGCTGGGTGCAAAGGAGAAAGAGAGCAATCGAGTCGGTGAACGAATGAATGGAGTCAGGTCCTCCGGCGAACGATTTGTGTTCGGTGTGCCATGCCAACTTTCACATCCCATGCCAAGCCAATTGTTCTCACTGGTTTTGCGGTCTCTCTCTCTCTTTCATTTCAATCTTTCTTCCTTTCTTTGCATTCGCATGACCCACTTCTTATTCTTCATTTATCAGGTAATTGCATCATGCTGGTGTGGCAGCACGGATCAGGGGCTCGCCCTTGCAAGTGCCCCCTCTGTCGCCGACCCATTACTCTCTTAGTCCCAACCGAAGACTCTCTTAGGCAGAACCATGACCCTGAAGTTGCTCAGATTCTATCCAAGATTCATGCTTATAACCGTTTCTTTGGTGGCCAACCCACCTCACTTCTTCAGGTTTCTATATATAACTTTTTTATTATTTCTTACTTACTTATTATTACTCTTTACCTCACTTCATTTTTATTGCAGAGGATGCAAGATCTCCCTTTTCTGCTGCATAGGCTGCTGCGGGAATTCTTGGACCCTCAAAGATCCCTTCCTCTTGTCATTCGTGCCCGTGTCTTTGTTGCAGTTACTTTCCTTACTCTTTCACTTCTTCCTTCCTTACCTGTTGTGTGTGTGTGGTTGCCCTAGTTAGGTCCTTCAACCAATTATGCATTATTTGCTTCCATGGTCTTGAAACAAGTATGTATTTGGATTTTGGGGCCAATTTGCAAATCTTTGTTTCATGGACACTCCCACAATGTTAGTCTACCTGGTGAGAGAAAGGAACAGAAGAAAGAAAGGTGATTAGATGTACTAGGTGAGTGGTGACATGATAGAATAAGTAATAAGAAAAGAGATAGAGAAATGAATGATGTTAATAGGTCCATGTCCAAAAAATGTTATTCATAACTCATTGCTCTAGCACCAAAGCTCATATGGGATAATATTAAACAGATACAGATATATGTTATATGCTGATATTTGGAGAACACAGGGAAGGAAATAGGTATATGTTTAGGGAAGGGGCAGTTTTCTTTCTTCTTTGAGTTTTACTTTTAAATTAAGATTTTTTTAACTGCCAGTTATATTTTAAAGAAAAGGGTCATATAGGTGCATTTTTGAGCATGGGGTCTCACAGTCTATTTTATATACAGATGATAGCAAGTGTTATATACCTCTTCAGTCCTATTGACATCATTCCTGAAGGTAGGTGGTATATTGTTCCTCATTTTCTTTTTTGTTTGGGATTTGTTGAAATTTTCATAAAGTATTTGTCTTTTTTTAAAACCTTTCTTGCAGGGGTATTGGGAATAGTTGGTTTGTTAGATGATCTCCTAATTGTGCTTATATGCTTCCTACATGTTGCTGCACTTTATAGATCAGTACTTTACCTCCGTCATGGGGGTTCATGAACATGTTATAATGCCTTATAGGTAAAGTGATACTATCAGATAATGCCTAGGGGCCTGATATGGGGGCATTATTATTTCATTTTCAAAATTGAGGTACTTAGTTTTGTATGTACATAGACAAGTTCAATTTCAAATAGTGTATTTGGCAATGGAAATTACAATGAAAAAGCATTCTATAAAATTTCGTACAGCCTCCTAAAAATTCAGTTATTGAATGGTTCATTTATCAGAATATACATGCTGCCGAGACACCTATTCATATGCAAAAAAAGGCTAGTAGTCAGGTATAAGAATCGCACGATTTGAACTAGGGGAACCCAGCAGTGTCTTCAATCTAAGAAAACTAACAAAACACTATCGAGGGCATTTTGTTTTGTTATTCTTTTCTTCTCTTCCTCCCCCCGCCTTGCTAAAATGTCCTTTTTTTTTTTATCAATTACACGACCCATTTGCCTTCCCCCCAACACCCCCAACTAATCTATTTTCGTTTGAGAATTTGGGTAGTGGCATTCCGTGCATATGCCATGACATTGACTGAATCAACCTTTATATTATGACAATTGCATCATTTAATCAATCCTAAATTCTCTCATTGGTAATACTTATTAATCACTGTAAATTCTGTTTGAAGTTGAAATAAGAATAGCATCCCTTCGCCCAAACTTTTTTCTTAAGCAAAAATTTAGATAAAATAATAATGGTATTTTTAAAAAATTGTTGCATATTGTTAGCTAAATTCCAAAATCTGATTATTATATTAAACCGAATAAAATATATCTATTAACAATGAAATAAAAATCTGTTTTTCTCATTGCATAATTCGTTCACCATTGATAGATTCAAGGATTATATATGTATTATCTGTCACCTAATGCTTGGACGACTCGTCTAGCCATGTGAAGTAAATGTAAAACAAGACATGTTTGAGAAAGTTCCAATCAATGAATCATGCTCCCATGAATTAACTTCTTGCATTTGTCCAAGAAAATGAAAAACCTGGACATCCTACTCGAGCCGAACCCATACTACCCGTTACTTGTAAGCAAAAAAAACCTAGCAATAGCACTATTTTATGGTAAATTCCAGTAAAAACTTTCCACCGCTTGAATTTTATCTCAAGCTTGGTACTGGCTATGTGAGTATAGTAAAAAATGCAAGATGTAAGAGTTCGTGATTACATGACTCAAGTAACTGTAGAATTCATCAGTTTGGTGGAAAATATTTGCATCACATAATGCCTATACATTTGAGAACATTTTTCAAGAAATAACTAGACATATCATTACACCAACAAATCCTCTAAAAGACACCTGAATCATCTAGATACTTATTTACATGAAAGAAAGATGTGGCATAGGGTACAATTAGTCAAAAACTCAAAAGGCACAGACCTACACAAGAACTGATGTCATTAGTCCCACAAAATCCACATGGTTGCTTAGCATCTTTCAAAAATCCTGTACAGTTTCTCCAGTGAAGTTACCTGTAAAAAAATGGGGGAAAACGAAAATGAAAAAGATCATATAAGGTACTAGTAAAATAACTTCTCCAGAATTAAATTGTATGTTTATCCACCAAACTAAATCCGTTAATTCTTAGATACTGGCTCATGCCATGGACAGGTCAATGAAAATGATTTAATCGGCACCGAGTTTCAATGCCATACTTAGCCTACATTTTCTCCCCTCACGAATTCTTATGATGTCCTCTGTAAACCAGAGAGAATAAGTTTATCATCAATAACTGAAACTCTAGTCTTCATGCATTCTTAATCAGGCAAGCCAACATATATAAATTAGCAAATAAAACAGCACGGATTTTGCCATTCATAATGGAGACAATACTAAGGGATAAGATTTGCATGAAGAGAAAGGTAAGCTCCCTAGGCTTATTAATGTATAGAAAAATACTTGGAACATACTTTTGAATACACCCCATCTGATTGGTTGGAATTTGTTGAAAATCATAAAATTTAGTGAATCTCACCCTATTTAGTGACTTTACTTATTTTATAGTTTTTGATGAAGTTTAACCAATAAACGTGTGTTAGATATAATGTTGCTAGCACTCCTCTTAATGTATATTAGTAGAATAGTAGTAATGAGAAACACATATTACCTGAACAAAGGTTCCATCAGTAGCCATCGAAACAGGTGGTTTAAAAAAGAGTCTCATTGAAGGAAAAAGCACATGTTGTATTGACCATTCGCGCTGGGCCCATGCAGTCTCAGCTTCAGAAAGCAGTTCATGTTCAACTTCGTTGTCGATTATGTCACTCCCTGAAGACAACTCAGTCAAGTTTATTATATAGCACCACCTTAATGAAATTTTTCTTAGCAACAGTTTCTACATTTCTCTTCACAATCAAGACCCCCACCCCCAATATTTTGATAGAAATAACATGGTCAAGAAAGATGGAATCAAGTTAAATTTTAAGTAGAATCTTGTTGAATGATTTTTTGGTAGAATCAAAATGAACATAAGCATAACATGCTGTTCTTAGAGCAAATGTATAAGCAATGTGCTTAATAAATGGTTGAACTAGAAGGAGGAAGTATAGCTGGTTCTAATCCAAAATAATCAGCCCAAAATATCATCATGTGTTCCTTAAATTATAATCCAATAGTTAGTGAATAATGAGCTCAGCAGTTGAAAGATCTCTGCAAATACTGCAATTTAAGCACACATAAACATGCGAGGAAGGGCAGCCTCAGCACCCTGTATTGAAACTAGGAATGATGTATTACAATGTATTGATGTATTTAATATATATTCATATAAAACATACAGTGCTAACTCTTATTTATACTGTAATTACGGAAACAAATCATAAAATAAAGAAATATGATAACTAATACTAAAAAAATAAAGATGAAATACATTTAAGAAACTAATCGTTTAAGATAATCTAAGATATTCTGATATGATAAAATATTTTTATATATTCTAACACCCTGAGCAAGGATTAGTCTAGCATAAAAAATGGTGGGGGGCTACCTGAAAGTCAAACAAAATATTGAAATATTTAGCATATTACCCACTATTACTCCTTGTAAGGAAAAAGAATTCAAATCAAATTCAAACCTCTGGAATTTAATAAAAACATAATTATTCTAAAATAACTGTCACTTATTATGATGTCAAAAGTAGGAAACAACAAAAATTACATTGGCAATAACAAAACTTTCTTTACTCGTACGTAACAAATAATCATTCACAATACAAGAAAACTCATCTGCGCAAAAATTGCAGATAAGTCTCCATAAAAGATACTATATGTTTTGAAACAATCACCTTTTCGTAGGACATGGTTTGCTAGGTTCAGTGATGCAACCTTGGAGCCTAGCTTGAAAAGGAAACCTTTTTCTTATTTGTTAATAAAATAAGAATTTGATTATGACAGAAAAGAGGACAAGTAATCCACCATACAAAAGAAGACAGAAAGCTGCAAAGCAGCCCAATTCGTCAACATAGCAAGCTTGCCCAACTCATGGTTTTCCAAAGAAAGGGGTGTATGAGGTTTAAGAACCATGGACATAGACAGATTGAGGCCCTTCTACATGTACTGCATCTTTTTGCACTGGAACTCTATCAGTAAGCATTGTGTCTTTGTTTGTTCAAGGAAACCAGATTTTATGAAAGAGCAAGAAGCAGATCTAATTGTGTGATTTAGAGTGGAAGCAAAGTATCATATGATACAGCACAAAATATTTACGAGCTTAACTGAATTTGATAGTTGCTATTTGAGGCTGCTTCCCAACCTTAACAACAATTTCAAAACTTCATTCTGTCACTCACAAAACCCATTCGTCCAATTTTAACTTTTTACAATACAAGTGTGCCTATGCAGTGACAAATGAGGATATGTGAGTACATGTGGGTGTGAATGATCCAGAAAGTAATAAGCATAAGTTCATACCAGTACTATCACAGGTATTCTCTTCAGCAATACCATCTATCAGTTTTCGCTTCTTGTAAAAAAGCGAGCCTTCACCAGACGGATTGGGCAACATCAGTGGATGCATAGCATAGAAATTTCCTAGAGCAGCTGAAACTGCTTGAATGCAATTCTTTTCCTCTTCCCAATCAACCTAACATAAAAATGCAAATCACAATCTTTCAAAATGTACAGCAAAAATAGATGTGATCAGGTACATTATGAAAATTCACAATTATCAATAAACACACGCTTGAATATTTAGTTGGAAATGAATTCAATGGAATAGCAACTGGAAAAACAAGATGATGCTTGATCACAAAAAGTGTAATCAAGAGACAAAAGATGCACAAATGTTATGACCATATTAAACACATCAGTGCATAAATTGAATTCAGGCAAAAGAAAAATAGCTGATAATATTACCAATGTACAGAAAAAGAAATCAGAGACACGTCTGCAAACATGTGAAGAGAGAAAGAACAAAGAAATTTATAACTAACATCATTGCCCAAGCAAAGAGCAAACTCAGGGACGCGATCCATGTCAGGAGTGTACTGGTCAAGTATCACAGGAAGTCTAGAGACATTTCCATGTTCATCAATATGAATGCGGAAATACTCCTCCAGCATTTCGGCCTTTTGTTTCAGTAGTTCTGTGTTCATCTGGAGAATAGCAAAAGAAATACCCTTAAATACCAATACCAAAAAACAGATCCAAAAGGAAACTATCAAGTGAAAATGTGCATATGCAAGAAGTTTAATTTCTCCAGTTTACTAAAACAAATTGCATTATTTTGTCACCCACTCTAATTCAAAATCTAAGGGTCAGTGAAATCCTACAAAGACAAACACAATATATTTTGTGCAGTAAGGAGTGTAGTCAAATTTTGTCAAAAGCAGTATTGCTTCGGTTAGTGTGACTTTGTTTCTGATTTGTAATCAATAGGGTTTTTTGTGAAGATTTTGCATGATTTTGGTTTATTGGATGGTCTGAGACTGACATCCAGAATAATTGGGAGAAATTTGAGAAGGAAACTAAGGAACAAGGTAAAAAAACTTAAGGAGATTTGCTGATGTGTTTAGTTAATGTGCCTATGTACAAGAGAAGTTTGAGAGCCCGTTCAGGAGAAAGGTTGAAAACTTTAGGATTCCTCTACCAAGAACATCATCAAATGTTATGTTATCCAAAGGAATGTTAGTTGCCTTAACTTGGGGGGAAAAAGGCACTTTTATGAATAATATTTTTCACAC